TGAGTTCTCGTGGAGAGAAAGTATTTAGGACGTGAATTGTGCGGGGGAAGGGGATTGCCTCTGAACCTGTGTGGAGGCGGTGTGAGATCGGGAATAAAGAATTGCTGTTTGAACCTACAAAGCTGTGTGGTGGCTCGTGATTCTGTGCCAAGCCGAGACATTGGCATTTGGCACTTTCTTGTTTAATGCAATGACACTGGAGGAAATCCCTTAGGATGCCATTTGCCTGAACTGAAGCTGATTCATTCACATGTCCACATTGATTCCAGGTGTGGGGGAAGCTTGAAGCTTTGTGCTGCACTTCTAAACCTGTCCAGGGTCACCTTCAGTACTGTAACTGAAGCTGTGTGGCCTCTATCACCTGCCAGGCGCCCACAGTGTGTGTTGGTACTCCTTTTGCATAGGGAAGTGGTTAGTCTTTGCTTTCCCATCCCAGAGCAGGATTTGTGAGATGACAGCATTCACTCCAACGTGTTAAGGTCTGGGTATGGCTCAGGTTTGGCCCCAAAGACCTGGTCTGAGTCCTGCTTGTGAATTAAAAGATGGACTACGTTTTCCAGAGATATTGTCTTTCATGACCAGTGATGAGTTTTGTGGCCTTTACCTGACCAACCTGAGAAAAACCTACCTCTTGTTTCTCTGCTTTGTATGATGATAAATTTCTTTTCTAAAAAGTTGTTTGTAGATGGACACAATACCTTTTTTCGCTTATTTATTTTTATGTGATGCTGAGGATTGAACCCAGTGCCTCACACATGCTAGGCAAGCATGCTACCACTGAGCTATAACTGTGGCCCTGATGTCTTATCTCTTATCTCTTTAGCCACCTTTAATCTTGGGAGCCCTATTCACTTTATTGAGTGATTTGAAAACACTAGAGTTCTGTCATAATGAAAGCAGCAGCAGCATTTGAGAGCATTCCACACGTACGCCTCAGGGTATTATGGCAGAAAGTAATTCTTCTGTTTGGGCCTGATTTGTGTTTCTCCCCAAGCCTCCAAGGAAAGCACCATGGACCTGACTTACAGCCTGGCTACTGTGGTACTTTGTGGCTTCTGAGCTCACTTGGGAGGTGTGACAACCTTCAGTACTTATGTGAAATTTCAGTACAGTGTGAAATTTGTTCACAGGTGTTAGTTACTGTGTGATTCCCTTGAGAGAAACCTCTTTCCCCTGTCCTGCAAAGGAGCCATGAGTCCTAGGATAGCACCAATAGTTGCAGTGTGGGGCAAGGGACAGTGATTGTTACATGGACACTGGATTAATAGGTAGTGGAAAGGGGAAGGAGCAGGTTGAGAGGGTGGGGTCAGGGCCAGTACTGATGGGATCGGGGCCCTGGGATGCAGCTCAATGGCTAACGACACCATGGGGCTGTAGTGGCTGGAGGGAGGGACAAGGGTGATGGGGCATTGCTTTTCAGGGCCTATCACCCCATCCAAGATGGCCTCTGGGGTACAGCTCCCTGTTTCTGTGTGGGCATGGGGTTCCAAGCCATGTTTGCTCAAGCCCTCGGGGCCAGGCTGGGGCATGGTGGAGTCCTTCGAAATATGCTTGTTTCCCCCACATATGTGGTCCTGTTGAGACCCTCAATCTCGGAGGGAGCCCAGTCACCAGGACTTTGTTTGGCAGTTTCTGCCCTAGAAGGGCTATTCCCCCGTTCTAGGTCCAAATGAGAAGTTACCGTTCTGCCTCCCCACCTTCATCCCTTGGAGTCAGCACTTTGCCCATGTGTGGCTTGGATGGATTACTTCTCTCCAGGACACACCTGGACCCAGGGTCACCCTGGGCATATAAGCAAAATTGGAGGTGTGGGAGTCACATGATTGTACTGTCTGCATTTGAAATGCAATTTTTGAGGCAGGGAAGGATTCTGAACGAGCATTTGACTAGTCTGATAATTCAGTGACAAATGTAATTGGGGAGAAAGCACAGAGATCTAGTTCCCTGAGTTTGCTTGTTTTTGCTAACATCACAGTTGCTATCTGATGTGGCCTCAAGGATGAGCTGGTCCTTGACTTAGCCTTAGGCTGGGAGCAGACATCTGAGCAGAATAAACTTGGTGAGCGGTGGGAGGAGATGTCCCTGAGCCCTGGGCAGCAGAGACAGCAGCTTTGGAAGCCCCAGTCTGACTTTACTCGCCTGGCAGAACACACTTGCTGATACAGTGAGGCCTCTGAGTCACATCTGGATGAGGCCATTAAAAATTGTTGAGAAGTGGCCCAGTCACCAATTTCAGTGACTCTGATGACACAACGGTAGCCAAACAGCACCCAGCTTTCAATGCCATAGTTAAAGAATAAGCAACATTCTTGGCACAAATCTGATTTCTTTACTGAAAATGCACCTTGTCACCACTCAGTTGCCAGCAGAAGGTGGCTGCCAGCCTTCAGAGAAGCCTGAAAGTTCAGACTGGAGCTGAGAGAGGCTGCCTGCTCAAGTCTACTAAGGAGCAGTGTTGTCCTGCTGGAAGGAGAATACTCCCTGGACCTCACTGGGCCATGGTTGTGTGAACCAGCAGAAAGCAGCACTTTCCTAAGCAAAATAGGAAGGAAATAGAGTATGAAGCAGATAAACAAAAAGCATATCCAAATGGGAAGCCAGCAGCTTGTGTAGCAACAGTGACACTGGGCTCTTCATCAATAGTGAAGAATGGCAAGGGGATGAAGAGAGTCACTGTCCCTAATCTCCTGCCCAGTGGACTCCTGGTCATTGCTTAAGTAGAAAAAAATGGATTCTGAACTGGATAAATTTTTAGATTCCACATTCCTTTTACTTTCTTGACCTTCTCAAAGAGGATACCATGCTGATTTGAATTGTGTGCCAGGAGCTGCAGTGCGATGCCTCAGAAATGGGAAAGAAAGCTGGTTGGAAGAATTCATCTGGTTCTTAGTAGTCTTTCTCATTTTTGCACATAATTGAAAGTGGCCATCACAAGGGATAGAATTCTAAGTTGAGGAAGATGAACTAAAGACCAGAAAAAACTTATATTTAGGTGTGACTATGCATCAAAACATTAGAAGTAATGCTGGGTGCAGTGGTGCACACCCATAATTCCAGCTACTCAGGGGCTGAGGCAGGAGGATTGAAAGTTCAAGGCAAGCCTCAGCATAATTTGTTGCATAATAAGCAACTTAATGAGACCCTGGATAGGCATGTAGCTCAGTGGTAATGTGCCCCTGTGGTCAATTCACACACACACACACACACACACACTTTCTAAACACATAGTTTGAGTAAATTATACCTCAAACTATTTTAAAGATATAAAAAAGCCTCTTATTCATTTCACTATATTTCATTATTTTCTATGCACTTGAGCTTTTTTGTGCCTACTATATAAATATGGTAGAAACAATACATTGGTGTGCTACTGACAACTTTCTCAAATTCCATGTTCTGCAGTGACATCATGTGACAAATGGAAATTAGCCATGATGGGAGATTTTACATCATGGAATGTGGCAAAAATTTCAAACAATTGCTTGATTAACTGTACTATAAATTATCTAGAATTAGAAAATGCTGGAGAATATGCTAATAATGCAAATTAAACTTTAAAATATATGTAGATGTGATCATTGC